GTCTCTGGTGCGGCCGCGTACCAGCCAGTCGTCCAAGTACGGGAACAGCTGTATCCCTTGTCGACGAAGGAAGGCCGCGACGACTGCCAGACACTTTGTGAACACCCTGGGAGCCGAGGACAAGCCGAAGGGAAGGACTGCGAATTGGTAGTGCACCCTGTTTACTACAAATCGCAGGAAGCGCCTGTGGGGCGGATAAATCGCTATATGGAAATAAGCGTCCTTCATGTCGAGGGCGGCGAACCAGTCTCCAGGATCCAGTGAAGGGATGATGGTCCCCAATGACACCATGCGGAACTTCAACTTTACTATGAATTTGTTGAGTCCGCGCAAGTCTAAGATGGGCCTTAGACCCCCTTTTGACTTGGGTATCAGGAAGTAGCGGGAGTAAAACCCCCTGCCCCTTAGCTCCGATGGAACCTCCTCTATGGCCCCCATAGCGAGGAGCCCAAAAATCTCCTGTGTAAGGAGTTGCTCGTGAGAAGGGTCCCTGAAGAGGGACGGGGAGGGGGAGTGGGAGGGGGGGGCGAGGAAAACTGGAGGGCGTATCCCCTCTCCACCGTGCGAAGGACCCAGCGGTCCGATGTTATAAGAGACCAAGCACGGTGGAAACGGGAGAGGCGATCCCGGAAGGGGGGAGTTGGATCCTGGGTACCGGTCGTGGTGCCGTCCTCGACCGCACCTTCAAAAGGTTTGCCTAGGCCCTGAAGGTGGTCTAGGCTGGCCCTGGTTCTGACCGGGTTGAGGGCCGGTCGACCTTCGCCTACCGCCTCGACCCCGCCTCCTAGCAAAGTCCTGTCTTGGACGAGGCGGGGGAGGGTAGAACCGCTGAGGCTGGGGCCTGAAGGGTCTGCGCTGAGGCCCTGGGACATGCATCCCCAGGGAGCGCATCATTGTCCGGGAGTCTTTGAGGTTTTGGAGCCTAGAGTCCGTCTTCTCCGAAAAGAGGCCCTGGCCCTCAAACGGAAGGTCCTGCAGGGTCTGCTGCAGTTCAGGTGGCAAGCCTGACACCTGGAGCCAGGAGATTCGTCGCATTGCTATCCCCGACGCCAGGGTCCTAGCGGCCGAGTCCGCTATATCAAGGGAGGCCTGCAGGGAGGTGCATGCCACCCGCTTGCCCTCCTCCACCAAGGCCCCGAACTCTTCCCTCGATTCCTGGGGAACCAGCTCTTTAAAATTCCCCATCGAGGACCACGTATTAAAGCCGTAGCGGCTCAGGAGCGCCTGCTGATTAGCCGCCCGCAGTTGCAGCCCGCCAGCCGAATAGACCTTGCGTCCGAACAAATCGAAGCGCTTAGCGTCCTTCGATTTGGGCGCAGCAGCCTGCTGGCCATGGCGCTCCCGTGCATTGACTGATGAGACCACCAGTGAGCACGGTTGGGGGTGAGTGTACAAGTACTCATGTTCCTTGGAGGGCACAAAGTACTTCCTCTCAACCCCTCTGGCCGTGGGCGGAATAGAGGCCGGGGTTTGCCAGATGGTGGTGGCGTTCGCCTGAATAGTGCGGATCAGCGGTAATGCCACCCTAGATGGAGCATCCGCTGAAATGATCTGCACAATGGGATCATGGACCTCCGCAATCTCCTCCACCTGGAGGTCCATATTGCGAGCCATGCGGCGCAGCAGGTCCTGGTGGGCCCGAAGGTCTATAGGAGGCGGCCCAATGGCGGATGTACCCACTAAGGCCTCATCAGGCGAGGACGAGGAGGATGCCCCCGGTGGCAAGGGGTCCAATGGTTGATCCTGCTCCAGGTGTTCCTGGAGTTGGGCATCGCCTGCCCCCTGGTCCAGGGCCTCTGCTGGTGTGGGCACTGGAGCCTCCACGTCCCTTGGAGGAGGGCGGGAGATGGTGGACTCTGGGGCCCTGGGCTCCGAACGGCCCGAGCGGGAGGCAGATAGCGGAGCTCCTTGTGCCTGATGGTAGGCCCAAGGAGTCCAGAAGGACCAATGCGCAGGTCCTTGCATAGGGTCGTCGGTCTCCTGCAGGTGGCCGGCCTCCACTGCATCAGACGAGCGCGATGCCGATCTCGACGGCCACGGCGGTGCCGAGCCCGACGCCGTCGGCACCGGATGGTACGGTGCCGATCGGTGCCGGCTGTAAGGCGATCTGTCCCTGTGCGGTGCCGGAGAGCGGTACCGGGATCTGGATCGGTGCCGGTAGTCCCTCCGGTGCCGGGATCCCGATCTGGAACGGGACGACGATCGCGAAGAGGCGTGGTACCGGGAGCGGCCCCTCGAGCCCGAGTGGCGCTCATACCGGTGCCGGGAGCTGCGTCTCGAGCCCGATCGGTGCGGGTCGTCGCGACGGTGCCGAGATGTTGACCGGCGCCGCGAAGAGGATCTGGGCCGCGAGTACGACCGGAGCCGAGGTGATATTCGGCGCCGGGACTCCGAGCGGCGTCGGGACCTGCTCCGGGATCTGGAGCGGTGCCGAGAGACTCGAGCTGGCGACGGTGGGCGCATCAGGGCAGGCTTGCCTCTGGACTGCAGCACGCGTGGAGCCACCGGTGCCGGGAGTTGTGACGGCGCCGGCTCCGTGAGGGCGATCAGGTCCCTCGCCGTAGCAAAAGTCTCCGGGGTGGAAGGGAGACAAGGTTCCACCACCAGCCTTGGTGGTGAAACAGTCTGCACCGGACTCAACGGCCTCGGTGCCGGAGTCGACGGTGTGGCCGCCTGCCTTTGGCGGTCCAACTGTGGACGCGGCTCTACCCCCGGCACCGGGGGAGCCGGTATCTTCACGGCAGCAACGTCCCGCGCCTTGCTGGCTTTCTTATGGCCCGGAGAAAGGGATCGGCGCCGAGGCTCTTTAGGCGGGCGCGGTGCCGACGTCGGTCGGTGCCGAGCTGTCTTTTCCGCCGCACCAGTCGGGCCCGCCGGGGCGCTGCGCACCGAAGCGCTCGGTGCCGGGACAGGGCGTGCCGAGGGAGGATCCGGACTCAGAGCCGCCTCCATCAGGAGCTGTCGGAGTCTAAAGTCCCGCTCCTTTCTTGTCCTCGGCTTGAAGGCCTTGCAGATAGGGCACTTATCTGCGGGATGAGCCTCCCCAAGGCACTTCAAGCAGGAACTATGCGGGTCGCTGGTTGGCATATGCTTCCCGCAGGACGCGCACGGCTTAAAGCCAGGAGCCTTGGGCATGGGCCCGGCAGTGCGCCGGGGGGGAAAAGGGGAAAAACACCCCCTAAACCCCCGATAACAATATTACAACTATATATACACTACACAACTAACTAACTAAGAACTTGAATAACTATATATACAACTAACTATAATAACAATAATGAGAAGCTAGGGATAGTGAATAGCAGCTAAGCCGCGGTTCACTGTTCCAACGACCGTCAGGGGCGGTAAGAAGGAACTGAGGGGGGGCGCTGGGTCGGCTGGGGTATATATCCAGCGCCATAACGGCGCCACTCCAGGGGGCTCCACAGCCGACCCACCGGGTGTTGCTAGGGTAAAAATCTTCCGACGATCGTGCACGCGGCGCGCACACACCTAACTGGAATGGATATGAGCAAGCACTCGAAGAAGAATATTTTGTTCTGCAGGGGAGCCTCAAGAGCCATTGCTTTTCGCTACTTCTTACCATGGTGCCAAGAGACCAAGAGCACATACACTCCCAGCAATAGAGATCTAGGACAGGGGTCGGCAACCTACGGCACGCGTGCCAAACATGGCACGCGAGCCGATTCTGAGTGGCACGCAGCTCCCCTGACGCGGTCCCGGCCCCCAGCCCCACTCAGACCCCCCGCCCCCTGCTCTCCCCTGCGGGGGCAGGAGGCAGAAGCTTGGTTCTGCGGCAACCAAGCTTCCCCCCTCCCCCGCTTCTTCCCCCAGCATGGCGCTTTCCTGCCCCGCCTCCTCTCCATCCCTGGCCAATCAGCTGATGGCCCTAGCAAGGGGGAGGGGGAAAGAGCGGCAGCATGCACACAGCTCCATAGAGGAGGCAGAGAAGAGGTAGGGACGGAGCCTGGGGGAAGGGGGTGGAACAGGGCATATCCCTTCCAGCTCCCTGCCCTGAGCGGCTCAGGGCAGGGGGCTGGGAGCACCCCCACAAGCCAAGCACCCCAGCCTTCTGCCCTGACACCCCCCAACACACACCCAGCCTTCTGCCCTGAACCCCCCACAGCCCCATCCCTCTGCCCTGCACCCCCCCAACCCAACACCCCCAGCCCTCTGCCCTGAACCCCCCACACCCCAACACACACCTAGCCTTCTGCCCTGCACCCCCCACAGCTCCCAGCCCTCTGACCTGACCCTTGAACCCCCCACACACATCCCAGCCCTCTGCCCTGAACCCCCTCCCCCAGCCCTCTGCCCTGACCCCTGAAACACCCCCCCCCCCAGGTCTGGGGTCCCGGCCGCAAGCCCTGATCAGCCCGTTGCTGGCCTAGGTGAACAGAACCCCAGGCTGGCAGCGAGCTGAGCAGGCTGGTGGCGTAAGATCAGCATTTTAATTTAATTTTAAATGACGCTTCTTAAACATTTTGAAAACCTTGTTTACTTTACATACAATAGTTTAGTTATATAATATAGACTTATAGAAAGAGACCTTCTAAAAACGTTAAAATGTATTACTGGCACGCGAAATCTTAAATTAGAGTGAATAAATGAAGACTCGGCACACCACTTCTGAAAGGTTGCCGACCCCGATCTAGGATGATAATCAAAGGAGAACAAATAGTTATTTATTTGTTTCTGTTTCAATATTTAAAATTATAAGGGCTCATCTGCCAGACTCTGAGATTATAGAGCACTCTCTCTTGTTTAGGAAATTCCAAGGACCTCACTCTAGCCACTTTCTAGTTCATGGCATCATCCAGACACCATATGAAAACACGACTGTGGAAAGACAGACAAGGGACATGCGCACATATGCCATGCAAGCACTAGAATTGAAAATAATTTAAAATAAAAAAATAAAAAAAATACAGGTTTCTAGGAAGTCATTCATCTGTATTTTAAATTTGCCACAATTTTTAACCTATGATATTAAAGTTTACCTTAAAAACTTTAAAATATTCTGGTAGTACAGAGGCAAACTTTCTGATTGTGTAACCTTTGGCTTCTTCATTGTGATCAAGTGCTTTGTGAATACTTCTCCAGAGAATGACAGTAATCTCCAGTAAACTTGCCATGGAAGCCACATCGTTTATTGACAACACATTATTTAGCATCTGAAATGCAAACATTTGGGGATTAAAATAGCTAACACTGTATAATATGAATGAAGATTAAAATTGTGTGTCAAAAATCTTTTTCTGAACTCTTCATTTAACAAAGGAGCTATGTTTATTGTAGGGGGATGTGAATGCCACAATTCAGACTTAATCTGTGCATAAATACAGTCATTTTGATAGATCCATATTTGAATAAATACAATTGCAAAATCATTTCTACTACTGTATACTTAGAATAACCATCAGCATGAGACAAGCACCCATTTTAAGTATTCCTGGAATTCCTCCCAGTTTACTCCTGCTACTCGACCTTCTTGCCACTCTCTCACATCACAGTAGTGGCCTGATAGCCACTTTTTCCTGTCTTCCTATCCCTAGAGATCCCCATTTGTTCCCCTTATGGTCTCCCTCTTTCATGTTCACTTACACTTATATTCTCCTTTTCACTTTCTTCATCATCATCTTGATTTTCTTTTATTGCTCTCTGGATGCAGGCATTCAAGCAGCGCCGAATAGTGAGCATGAATTTAGCTAAATTTTAAAAGTAGATAATTTAGACAACCATTCCACTTAAGAACCCTTTATCAGCAACAGATATTACAGGTAATTATAAACATTATTTGGGGAAGTGGGAGATAAGAAGCAGACACAGCTAGTATATAAAATACCAATTCCATTAAAAGTAAATTTAATATATTTAAATATGAAACACTTGTAGTTTAAGTACATAACATAACACAAGAACAGCCGTACCAGGTCAGACCAAAGGTCCATCTAGCCCAGTATCCTGTCTACCGACGGTGGCCAATGCCAGGTGCCCCAGAGGGAGTGGACCAACAGGCAATGATCAAGTGATCTCTCTCCTGCCATCCATCTCCATCCTCTGACAAACAGAGGCTAGGGACACCATTCCTTACCCGTCCTGACTAATAGCCATTAATGGACTTAACCACCATGAATTTATCCAGTTCTCTTTTAAACGCTGTTATAGTCCTAGCCTTCACAACCTCCTCAGGTAAGGAGTTCCACAAGTTGACTGTGCGCTGCGTGAAGAAGAACTTCCTTGTATTTGTTTTAAACCTGCTGCCTATTAATTTCATTTGGTGACCCCTAGTTCTTGTATTATGGGAATAAGTAAATAACTTTTCCTTATCCACTTTCTCCACATCACTCATGATTTTATATACCTCTATCATATCCCCCCTTAGTCTCCTCTTTTCCAAGCTGAAGAGTCCTAGCCTCTTTAATCTCTCCTCATATGGGACCCGTTCCAAACCCCTGATCACTTTAGTTGCCCTTTTCTGAACCTTTTCTAGTGCCAGTATATTTTTTTTAGATGGAGACCACATCTGTACGCAGTATTCGAGATGTGGGCGTACCATTGATTTAGATAAGGGCAATAATATATTCTCTGTCTTATTCTCTATCCCCTTTTTAATGATCCCTAACATCCTGTTTGCTTTTTTGACCGCCTCTGCACACTGCGCGGACAGCTTCAGAGAACTATCCACGATGACTCCAAGATCTTTTTCCTGACTTGTTGTAGCTAAATTAGCCCCCATCATATTGTATGTATAGTTGGGGTTATTTTTTTCAATGTGCATTACTTTACACATTTATCCACATTAAATTTCATTTGTCAATTTCAAGTAATTATCACCCTTTCTGATCCAATAATTGAAAACAAAAAAACAAAAACAAAAAATACAAAGTCCCCTCGTGTGGTATTTTTCTTCAGAGAAAAGATCACAGGAAGCTACTGAATTTATTTGGAATGGCTATTACTTCAATGGACTAGTCTCAAAACATGATGGCTCTCTGTGACATGGAGGCTCCTTTGCAAACTCTCACCTCAGAGCTAAGACACTCACTGCACCAAACTCTGTCTTACAGGAGATTTATCCATAATGAGTAACATATAAGGTATCTACAGAAAACTCCTGGTCAAGACTCAATCATTGAGAGATGTATGTATGGATGGATAATATTTAAAGAATAATGTATTTATATTGAAAGTATGCTTTATGGACTTGAAGTAAAAATTGAGCCTGGTCCACACTAGAAGTTTAGGTTGTTGAGTTACGGTGGTTCGGGTGTGAAAAATCCACACCAGAGTGGCATTGTTAAACCAACCTAACCCCTCAGTGCAGACTGCACTAGGTCAATGGAAAAATTCTTCTATTGACCTAGCTACTTTCTCTTGGGGAAATGGATTACCTAGGATGATGGGTAGCATTTTAAATGTAGATGTACCCTAAGTCATCCAGGTAGTGTGACTTGGTGAAGATCCATTCAAGCAAGAGGGAGCTGTCACTCAGACAGCGAGGTAATGAAAGGCTCTATTATCTACCCTTGCAAATAAGAACAATGGAAAGCCATCAAAGACAGCAGCAAACAATATAAACCACTTGGTGGCGACAAGGAACATTATAGCAGGCGGAAGATCACCCTGGTTGTGAATAAAGACAAAAGACTGTTTCAATATCACCAAGTGTAAGGAAACAACAAGGAGTCTGGTGGCACCTTAAAGACTAACAGATTTATTTGGGCATAAGCTTTCGTGGGTAAAAACCTCACTTCTTCAGATTGAGGTTTTTACCCACGAAAGCTTATGCCCAAATAAATCTGTTAGTCTTTAAGGTGCCACCAGACTCCTTGTTGTTTTTGTAGATACAGACTAACACGGCTACCCCCTGATAAGTGTAAGGAAAGGTTTTGTATCCATTGAAGAAATCCTTTAAGGAGCAGGGGACTTTCATGAATGTTTGGATCCTGATTCTTGTGAAACCAGCCAGCTCTCCACAGGGCTGAACTTTCTGGGGGTAGGAAGCCTACTTTATTATATAGGAAAGGTAACTATTGACAAGAGTAGACCTAGGTTCACATTTTATGATTTTGTTTTGTGTTGTTCCCATCACTTTCTCATTTCTCATTAAATCTTTATTCTTTCTTAAACAAATCTACTTTTGTTTTATTGTAAGTGCTTACAAGTGCTGTGTGGTTTACAGGAACAATGGTTTAAGATAAAACTGGTAATCTGGGGTACACTGCAC